TTTTAGCTCGATGCCCATTTCCGTCTGCATTTGCCTTAGAGGTACATGTTTTCAACTAAGTAATAGGACACACAAATTAAATGCAATTTCAAATTTGAGCTTGTACAAGTGTCACTTATCAAGTCCCCCCTGATAGTCCCAGGGGGAAGCCCATAGCACTGTTGGAAAGTACATTACTGTACTTGGTTCCCATTATTTAGTCCAAGAGATTCTTATTAAAATGAAAGCCAGCAATAAGGTTAATATTTTATATTCTGTGCAACTGCAGTGCATATTTGGGCCCTCACTAATTTTCATATCCTTCTCTTTTATGTTATTTTTTTATTTTACAATCCACATGTTGACATATACATATAAACATCTACCCAGGCCACTTCAAGATTAAAAGGTGCTGTGTGCTGTAATTTTTTTAAAAAAGGAAAATGGTTATAGAAAAAGGCTGACATACACAGAAGATCAGAATTCGAGGTGCATGCTGAGCCAAAACCTTGGTGCTATGGCCTTGGACTTCATGGTGGACCCTGCTGAGGTGGCCGGGTGGATGCTCAGGCAGGTTGGTCACCATTTGACACTAGTACCTGTGGTTCTCTTTTATCTTCCTTGGTTTTCACCCCAATTCTGGCTGCCTGAGTGTCTTCCTGGGTCTGGTTATTATAGATCTCCTCTTTCCAGCTCATATCACTTAGCACAGCCCAAACTGGACCAGCTTGATTCCTGGATCCTGAGCATATGATATGTGGGCGGAGCCATGCTGATTCGGCTCTGTTTTCCCAGCAGGAGCATAGTGTACTTAGTGTTCAGTAAGTGCTCAGTTCATGGGGTATGGTGGAGATCATCTGGGATCTATCAGCTTCTCACTAATTTAGACCTCAACTTTTTCCATCAGTGAATTCTTTACCACTCCCCATCACATTGCAGCTCATCCCAGGATCCTGGTGGATCTTGGTTACTATCTGTGCGTGTGTCTGAGGCTGCTTCCCTTCCTCTGCCATCTGATATGTGCACCTTATTCAATTTTTTTCAGACAAATGTGGCAAGAAGACTTTGAGCCTTTACAAAATGACCCCACTGGTGCTCTGGATGTGTCACTTAACCTCTTCAGTCTGTTTACTCACCTGAGTAGATTAAATACTAGAACTTGTCTCTTCTGTATCCTTGATTCTCTATTTCAGACTCCACAAGAATTGAGATACAGATTATTAGGGCAAATGATATTAAAGCAGAGTCTGAATTTCTTATGTGATTCTATGGTTAGGTGATATAATATTTCTGAATAATATTTGGGTGGCAAATTCTGTCTTAGTTACTTTTCACTCGTCACTGAGACAAAATATCTGATGCCAAAAGTTGGGAAAGGAAAGGTTTATTTCTTTCAGTTTTTGGAGGTTTCAGTCCACACTCAGTTGGCTCCAAGGTAGGGTGGCATAGCGAGGCGGCAGTTCATGGTGGCTGCAAACAGCAAGGCAGAAACTGGCAAGAGAACAAGACACCCCTTCTTCCTGCCATTACATTGTATGCTGGCTCCACCCCTAGGCGGGTGCAGCACTGACACCATCAACCCAAGCTCTAGACAATGAACCAATCATAAATGCACAATGCAAACGCATGAGGCATGGGGGCCACCGACATAAACCATGACAGCAAATTTTAAGATCATAAAATGATTTCCTCATAAAGAAACTATTCCAACTTGGAAGGCCATGTTATTGTCTTGGAAGGCAAAGTACATATTCAACCAGGGGACTTACAAAATGTTTACCAGGAAATCAATGAGCCACTGTAATGCAGGCCTACCTACCAGACAATATGATAACAGCATCACAAATTAAAAGGAAGAAAGCAAGTAATTCTATCTGCTCATTCATTCATTCATTTGCTGGTTATTGGAAATCTGATCCATGCTGTGGACACTTAGCCATCAAGTGCAGCATAGTAGATTCAGAAAACAACAAAAAATCATGGAGTGCAAATTCATCAGCAGTGATCATAGGGAGCATACGTGTATGGGGCACAGGCTCTTCAAATTTGCTTTTTATATAATTATAACTTCTTTATTTACTTTCAAAGATGGTGGACACATAATTAGTCATTCTGCTTTGCTCATTTTACATTAATAGTCTAAGCATTTTCCATGTAGTAGCACACTTTAAATAATTATCTTTTCACTCTACTAGAATTTAATTATTCTTTTCTATGTGATTGATTGTTAAAGTTTGCCTTATTCCCTGTGTTTTATTACAAATAACACTTCAATGAAAATCTCTGTGTATATAACTTATTTGCTTTGAGATTATTTCCCTTGAGAAAATCGCCCAAATATTAAAATGTTTGAGTCATCTTTTCTGTTTAAGTCTTCTCTATAGAAGAAACACTGCTTATCTGGAGCATTCTCATGTCTCTGTCCTTTGGTATATTGTAAGTGTCACAGTTTGACATGCATGCTGTTCTGGCCCCATAGTTCCCTCAGGCATGTGGCTCAAGTTTTCCATGTAAGTGGACACAGTATTCACTTCTAGCTGTGTTACTTAAGTTTTCTTTTCTGAGTGTTTCACTTGAAGTCCTTTTTTTCCTCCTGGGTTCCATCATCAAGTGTTTCCAGGAGTTTCCACCCTGACTGGGAAGCTTGTTGTGTTGGTTACTGTACTCTTGTTGCTGAAACAAAATACTTGACACTCAAAATGAAGGAAGGGAAAGTATATTTAGTTCAAAATTTGTGGAGGTTTCAGTCTCTAGTCAGTTGGCTGCAAGGCAGGGTGGCATGGCACTGGGGCAACAGTTCATGGCAGGTAGCAAAGGCAAAAAGAACAAAAGGGACACAAAAGGAGGATCACAGAGAAAAGCTTCTTTCTGTCCCTTATACTGTATGTAGGGCATAGCCTCTCCAGGGTGGGTGTGTCACTCACACTCATAATCCCAGCACTGGACCATGAAGCAATTACAAATTCTGGAAACCTGCCTCCATGGCTGCATGAGGCTTTGGGGGAACATCCAGACACAAATCATAACAATTGTCTATATTAGTCATTTTTTGAGAATGTCTTTATTTTTACAGCTAATAGTAACAAACAGGAATTATTTTTAAGTTCTAATTTACAACTCAAGTTAATAAAAGAGAACAAAATGGTCAGAAATAACACCATGGCTAAGATCCCAGACTTTGAGGGCAAAGATATTTGCCTTTGAAGCTTGTCTATGCCACTGCCTGACTGTGTGAGTTTAGGTAAATAATTTAACCTCTCTGAGCCTCAGGGTCTTCCACTGAAAATGGTGCTGACAATGGAGCCTGCTTGGCCAGGGGGCTAGGAGCTTTGGCTGAGATAACTGTGTAGCCTTTAGTGCTTGGCACATGTAAACTAAAGAAAGGTAATGGCAATGATAAAGCACTTCAAAGCACATTTTGCTTAAACAGTTATCTAGCCTTATCAGTTCATTAGTTATTTTGCCATGCAGTTTGAAAAGCAGCTTTTGAGCATGTCTATATTTCAGACAGTAGGCAAGGTACTGGGAAGCAAAAAAAAAAAAAAAAATAATGCGGAATACAATTGCCCTTCCCTTTCTCAGAGGTTCATTCTTCAGAGAAAATCAAATACTGAGTTTGTAAGTGTGAGAGTGGTATGTAACCATCTTGAAAAATATTTTGATTTCTTATTTTGGCGGTAGAAAAGGGTAAAGTCCTACTGTTGACACTGTTCATACCTCCATATCCTTAGGAGTGATTGGGATCTGGGTACAGATAAAGCCTTGAAGCTGATATTCTCAAAAGAAAACAAAACAGGAAAACAAAATTTTAAAAAGTAAACACTTCCAGGGGAACATTTTAGGCTCAGCCTTTGTGTAAAATGCCATGGAAAAGCTTATCAAGCTTCACTGTTCTGTTGGAAGGAAATGGAACCAGATTGGAAAAGCCCAAATATACTCAAAGATATTTTCTGTATTAAGGGTTGAAAAAGTTCATTTTCATAAGGGGACAGGTAGATGTGTACTAATTTAGTCTTTATTAAAGCATCATGCATGCTGTGCTGACTTCTGTGAAGAGGTAGGCTGGGTGAAATGCTTATCACCCTGTGAGGTGCACATCTGTCAGTGGATGAACTGGGAGAGACAGTGAAGCATGTTTCCTCAGAGGAAACAGCAGGTTCCTGTGGTCCTAAAATCATATTGGGCTTTGTTAGAAGAGAGATTAAAAAATAAGAGGCTCAGAGAAGTCATCTTCTAGCAGGTCTGAGTGGCCTCCTTGACACTTGACCTGGGATCTGTAGTCCCCAAGACTATTTGCAGGACCACTGGACTAGCCAGGTTGTGTGGTCATATGGATTTCTTATCCTTCACCTTAAGGTCTAAGGATTATCTGGTCCACGTCCAGGAAACACTGGCGATATGGACTCAACTTTCAATTCCGAAAGTATAAGATCCTTCTCTTCCAGGAGGAGCTCCAGCAGGAGAGATGGGCATGGGGCAGAAGTGTGGTGGTATTAAAGATACACCTTGATTTTCAAGACAACCCAGCACTACCCTTGCAGCTAGCAGGCTGGGGCCTTGATGGCGCCAGTAGGGTCTTCTATTCCCAAACAAGCACAACACATGTCCAAAGCTGGCCCATGGGTTTCTGACACATGTCCTATGAGGGATGGCTTTTCTATTGATCCTTTGAGAAATGACATATTACTCTCAGTAGCTCACTGGATGATCTTCAAGGACCAACTGATTGAAGCAAATAGTGATGAGAACAATAATCTCATATTTTCATACTCAGATAATGCAGATGTTGGTATTATTATGCTAAAATGACTAAGTAAGGCAAATGTTTTCTAGATACACAGAAAACAATTAAAGAGCAACCTGGAACATAACACAGTTCAGTATGCAACCATGAACCTTCACCTAATGAGGCAGAGATCAAAGGATCATTCTGAAATCACTTTCTCCTACCTCCCCAACTTAATTGCTATTTCTGTAAAATTAACATATCAAAGCTATTATGAATGAATGTGTGTACTTACCTCTGTTCCATCAAGTTCATGTAGACCAGGCAAGCCTTGTCTCTGAAAATCCAATGACTGTGGTCCTGGTCATCTTCAGTGGGTTTTTTGAATCACTAAGCACCCGCCACCCCATCTCTGAGCTATGTAAATCTGATCATAGAGCTCCACCTCTGGAAACCTTCCTGCAGCTTCCCTTAGTGAGCTGTGAGGCTTCCTCAGAGTCAGACTAGCAGCTTGGCATGCTCTGATCTCCTCCTTCTCCTCCTCCCTTTCAGCCTCCAGCCTCTCCTTGCTTCCCTCTTCCTTCTCTCTTTGCTCCACTCACTTGGCTTCCTTTCAAATCCCACCATTAAGTGAATCACTACTCATCTCGGGAACTTTTCCCTGAAGTTTCCTCCCCCTGATGAACCATCTGCGTTCCTTGCTTTCACGAAGTGGACACCTAGACCCAGGGATGCCTCTGAAGGACACCTCTACTAGATAGGTGTTCCTTCAAAGCTGTCTCAAGGACGAGACTAAAAGAAGGTCTTGGAAGATTGGCTGAGCAAATGCCACTCGAGCTGTAACTCATCAGAACGCACTCTGGGAGTTTGTGTGCTCAGCTCCTCGAAGTGTCTGTCTTGTACGGGCAGTGAGGTTTCTGATGGCTGGGATCACTGAAGGTGTGCTCTGTTAAGGGCAATGTCCCCAGTTCACAGTCTAGACGTTAGTAAATTGCAGTTGTTTATTGAAGATAGTTTGAGGGAAAAGAAGAATAACAGAACTAGTTTGATGCTGACATTACATTTCTTCATGTAACACCACTTTGTAAAATAGTCACAAAACTAGGTTGCATTTCCAAGGCAAACCAGTTCATGACTGTGCCTTGCAAGCTGCACTGACCAGCATGTGAGGAGCCTCTGTGATCCAGCATGACCAGTCCTCCCCAAAGACCAGAAGCCGAGAAGGGAGAGAGACACAAGCAGATTCAGGCACAGATCTTCTGCAGAGGATCCTTGCAATTCTAAGCATCAGTTTACCTGGGTTAAGGCAGAGACCAGACTGTTTATATCTTCCCCGTTATCGTAAGAGTTCCTCGGGTGCCAGAATTGTCTCCTATTCATCATCACAGTCCCCAAATCATGTAGAGGCCCCTACGTACAATGAGTAGACAGAAAATGTTTTATATTCTCATGAATGAATAAAAACCAAATAAGATTAACATTAGTGGAGATGCATTCTTGATCATTCTATGTATATTCCTAAATCCAAGGGAGGCTACGATTGTAAATTCATCCTGACCACCTTCAGTTGTGAGCTGCTAAAACTTCACCCACAATCATCAAAACCCTACAGATCGGCTCCCTTCCCTCAGTGCGAGTACAGATGGCACACAATTAGCATATTCAAAAATGTGCATTTCTAAGGGGGACACAAATGGAGAAAAATACACACACACATAAAGATTCTGCTCGTCATCCTATGAGCTCAGAGCGACCCTCTCGACTGCCAGTATCTCTCTTTTAAGTGCTGTCCTTGAAACTAAAGCGCAATCAAGGAGCTTGATAAAGTCAAATGCTTCACTGATCTAAACAAAAGGCAGTGTGAAGACGTCTGGTTGGCACTAAGGGGGGGGGACCTGTGGAGACATATGTCACATCCCTCCTTCTCCTTGTTTAATTTTTTTTCTTGGATGGGGGAGCTAGGAGAAGTTATTTCTTGATGATTTTTTTTTCTCCCAAGGACCAGGGTCAGGAAGAATCCACCCCAAGGGTAGTTGGAGGGAAGAAAAATAACAAGGCTCACTGGTGTCTGGGGACCACAACATTGTTCACGTCCTCTGTAATCATCAGTGCATGGCTTGGCTGTCTCGGTAATTTACATAATACCCTCCTGACACCTTCACTTCAGCTATCCATCACCGCGCTGGAGCTCCCTTCACTGGCGTGCTGGTTTGCAGTCACTGTGCCTTGGTCTCTCCAGTCTTCTCTCTCTCTCTCTCTCTCTCCCCCCTCCTCCCCTTTTCCTTGTCCTCTTTAGGTTCTTGTGTCTCCTTGTGAATTTCTCCATTTACCAAATGCTTATAGGACCAAGAAAAAAAAAAGGAGATGAATTTCAGCCTCATTTCCATCCTTCTTGTTCAACTCACACGCATCTGGTAAATGATGAAGCCCCAAGTCAATGGCGATGGGACCTACGCGCAGACAGAGCTCCCTTTTTTAATAAATAGTATCGCTGGGGTTGGGGTAGGGACTTGCTTTAATATATTTACACATGAACACTGTGGGAAATGAGGTCGTCAGCTTAAACTTTGTCACAAGCATAAATCAGTTTGTACCTTACATTGAACATAAATTTACAAATAGAGAAAAATTGAACACTGAGTATTCAGTTCATCTGGTAGTATAATCCAGAGCCTATAAATAAATAAATCCAAGAATCGCATGTACCTAGTCATGTAGCCAGAGCAAAGTGCTGATCAAATTTTGAGAATGTTTCACTTGATTATCTTTTGCCATGATAAAATAGGCAAGTCATTGGATAAAGCATTAGTTTTATACCCTCATAATACATTTTAGATAAAAATTAGTGGCTAGGAAAATTCTGTAAAGTTACCTACAAAACTTGTTGCACAGAATACAGACTTTGTGGTCTTATAAATGAGCAGTGAACATTACCATGAAATATACAATGAACACTGAAGAAGCCAAGGTCAGTAGGAATGGCACACGAGGAAATGGCACTTTTTACATCTGAGTTTTAGGAATGAAAATGATTTAATTGAAGTAGTTCTAATGATTTTCTCACAATTTTTTAAAAAAATATATCTACAGTGTTCCATCCTGTTTTCTCTTTCTTTTGTTTTATTCTAAATCAGACCATATGGATAAATAGTACACGCTCTCAATAACTGATTCTTGAAAGGCAGGCCCAATATGTCAACTCTGCTGATAGAGATTTTTAAGAAAAAATAATGATGCTTAGGTCTTCACCTTTATAAAATGAATTGAGATTTTTTAGTGCAAAGTAGACCTGAGGTTCTCATAGGACTGAGTAACCTTTTAAACTTTTACCCAGGTACTGCAGGAATTTTCTAAATTTTTTCTTTTGATAATATAATGCTATTAAATTAGTACTCAATAGATTTTTCTCTTTTTTTGTTAATGTGAAAATATAGAGCATCAATAATGATCATATCAATGGCAGGGATTTTTGTGGTTATCTGTGACAGGCTCTGGGCCATGAATTCAGTTCTATATTGGCACAGATATTCTCACCATGATGCTACATGGCAGAAGTATTCTTTTCCCCATCATATGGATAAATAAATGAAGGATCACAGGGCACATAAACTTGCCCAAAGTCACTCAGCCAGAAATGCAGAGAAGGATTGTAAGGAGGAAACAGAAATTGAGATCTGTCCTAGCATTACAAATGGAGGATAAGATAATCATCACTGTTTTAGTTTCTGGGGTCTTGCTATGGAAATACTATTGCTATCACAAGTAAAATGGAATATCAAATGCATTCTGGAGTAAGCCTACTATGATCAATGGTTGACCTAGCCTGGAGTTCTTGGGATAATGGGATTGGACGATGTCTTTCACGACTCCTTAAAGTCTTGAGTGGAGTCCAGACGTCTACGGAACTCAGCAGGCACTTCTTGAAGGGAAATCCATTCTAATTCTGAAGGTTCTCACTGGTGGCCAGGCTGTTCCTGGAGGCGTAACACAGCTGTATTCCCTGGAGAAAGAATCAATGGTACTCAGCTCACTGGCTCTGATGAGCAAAGACTCATCTTTGCATATCTCTGTGCAGAAATCATCCTCCTTTTTGCCTATTTCTGTTTGCTAGAAGGATGGGAAAAAGTTACCCAATTTTTTCCTATTTGGCCATTTTTCATGGCAAGAGACAAATCAAGGACTGGCAAAAGCTGAAGCTATTTTTGTGCCTTGAGTCTGGATGCTAATGGCTCTTACTTGGTCACTAGCCAGGCCCAGCCTACAACCAGGAACTGTGCTTGGTCCTCCTAGTGCCTCTTTATTGAGCAGAGTAGGTCAGAGGCCTTAACTCACTAGATTAAGGGAGTGAGATCAGCTGCCTGGTTTCCTCACCACGATAGCTCAGAATCTGACACAGAGCCTGCAAGATGGCAGCAACTAATTATTGCTTGTGAAATCAGTGGCTGTAGGAGCAGGGCATGGAAGGTGTTAACTTCTCCCAGTGTGACCTCACAGGAGGAGTCTCACTGCACAGGTCTCTCTGGAGCTCCATTCAGGGTAAATGGGATGGCTCTGTGGAGAAGGATAGTATCTCCATGTTTAATACTTGCTTTTTCCAAAGGTGGGGCTTCCCTGTTCCACCTGCTCACCCAGATGGCAGACAGCATACAGAGAACAGAGTTTGTAATACAGAAAGGGGAAATATGAGCTGCGAGGACTGGGGGAGTTAAGATCCTTGCTCTCACCGGCCAAGGAACTTCACGGCTTCCTGCCACACTCTGGCTCTGCAGGTCTTGGGCCTGCCTGCCCCACCCCCAGTGACTCTCTCTCAATCCAGGGAACTGGGCAGCCTGAGTCCCAGGAGCTGAGGGCATAGAAGAGGATTTCCAACAGGCTCAGGGGAAGCCTTGGAATAATACTTGAAACACAGAAATATAGGAAAATGACAAAACAAAAGACTAAAACACAACCTCAAACCTCCAGTCTATTCCAAGAAACCTTAGGAGCTATGTACATAGAGCTACAAGGACTGAACCACATTGAGGCTGCAGGAAACTTCCCGAAGCTCTGTGTACCAACTCAGGAAGCCTCCAAAGCTCCATTCCTTCCTCTAGATGCATCTTTGCCATCGTCCCGACATTAGTGTAGGTCTTCCTGGTCTGGCTGTCAGAACCTTCTGCTTCATGTCTGCTGATGAAGTGTTCCTGAGTTGACTTCGTGTACACGGATTTGTTTACTTTCCTTGATTTGTTCAATAAATATTTAGATTCAAGAGTCTATGCTAGGTGTGATTCTAGACTCTGATAATTGCCCATTGTTCTGAATAGAAGGCAAGTTCTAGGAACTTAGAGACCATAAATACGCCTTGTCATTGGATCCCTACCCTCCTTTGCTCCACGGCAGATCCTTGATGTGTCTGTTGCTGGATGAACATGTGACAAGTTAAAGAGTTGTCCAGACCCTGTGCTGGACGCTGGGGATACACAAGTGACTCAGGAATTGCTCCTGCCATGCTCTGTGGGGACTCACACACCAGGAAATAGTACTTGTAATAAACAGCAGTTCACACAAGACCATGGCAATGCACAGTGTGTCACAGTGAGACACGCCATCAGTATGCAACCAGGGTTGTTTGCGAGTACGTCCCCCGAGAGCTAATGAGCCGGTGGAAGTCGGAGATCATGTCAGTTCATCTCAGAGTTCCCTACAGCACCTGCCCGGGATGCTGCCCCAGTAGACACCAGGCAAGTGCTGGTGAATCTGACATTTGAAAAGGGACCTCAGCCCACTC